AACAACAGCAACAACAACAACAGCAACAGCAACAACAACAGCAACAACAACAGCAGCAGCAGCAGCAACAACAACATCACCAACAGCAAAACAACGCTTCAACTAATACATCTCGCCATCATCAAGAAATGCAAGTATGTATCATAATGTCCAATCGAATTTTTGGATATCATCAATACACACATACACACTTATCTCACAGCGGTCAATAGAGAGTATATATTCACATTTATTATGACCCTAAAATCGTATCTCCCTTAAACATTTGTATGGAAACTAATTTTAAAATCCACGAATGGGAATTGGGGAACTGTGAAAGTGTTCTTTAATTCCTTAAATTAAGAGAGAGAACTTCACACGCTAGTTCATAAACGTGTACAACCAATTATCTTTTCTGTATTTCGCTGCAGGCTCAAAATCCTAGTAGTGCTCATCAAGGCCATCCATCGCCGCCTACTGTGACGTCAACCCAGCACTATGCGAGCATGAACTCTCCCATTAAGGTGCCAGTGGTGAGCTCCAGCACTGGCGGTCCTGACAGCACATTTACTGTACCAGATGATGTGGGCATGGGCTTCGAAGGCGGTGTCAGAGTGCTGCAGAGTCTTGGCAACTGGTGGGTACTTGATTATATTCCAACAGTTCAAAGAACAGTCATGAGTGTACTTAATAAGCTTTTTCACCAGGTCACCAGAAGTGACGAACACCATCCCAAGGCCAAATCTAATACCGTTCACGGAGCCGTATGCAGAGGGCGGGTCCATGCACCCAGGGACGAGGCTGAAAGCCCTGCAGACTGGCGTAGTGAGGAAACACCCAGCCATCAAACCTACTAGTTCCACTAATGAAGGTGAGTTTATGAAGCCAAGAAACTTATTAATTTAGTTAACTACTTCTTTATGTGCAAAAGAAGCACAAGAGTGGGTGCCTGCCTTATCCGTTTTTATTGCATTCTCACAACTTTGACCACATAGTTGTTTCAATCCTTTAAGAGCTCTAGTAAAGACAATTGAGCCCACCATTATAGAATGTATTCAATTAACTACCCATCTGAGTTCTTCAGAGGCGATTGATGATTCTTTAGTTATCAATAATTTACAGGTAGCAAAGCATTCGAGTGCACGGTGTGTGGAAAAGGATTAGCAAGAAAAGACAAACTCACGATACATATGAGAATCCATACAGGTATTTTTTTTAGATAATCTTTATTGTTAAGATTAATTCTATCGCTTAACCTTCTACAATATCATATACTCAATGTCGTTTGCTGTTATTTTCACTACTTACAACAATTGTTTTATGTTTAGGCGAAAAGCCTTACGTATGTGAAGTATGCAACAAGGCTTTCGCGCGTCGAGACAAGTTAGTTCTGCACATGAACAAACTAAAGCACATCACACCGTCCAATATTGCCCCGTTGGGAAAGAGATCCATTTCGATTCCACGTAAGTATTTTGTGGAAATATAACAGACAATTATTGCTGCTTATCACTTGTTTTCTAGTTCTTATAATGTCTTCTATCTTATCGATAGCCTGTTTCCAATACATAGATTGGTTTATCTAATTTATATGAATTACCTTTCCAAAATTGTAATTAAATAACCAAACTTGAGTTTTGTAATGTTACACAATAATTGTATAAGATATTATCTCTCAGCTTTAAAATTAGATGACGTTAAACCGCAACTAACAAAGCAAGAGGATACAAAGCCGAGTCAAGCTGAAATCGCGGCTGTGGCACAACAACAACAACAACAGCAACAACACACGCACCAACAAGCGATCCAGGTCTGCCAGGTACCAGGCCACAACTTTACGGTAAATCTCACAAACATTCAACGCATGGTTGAAATAGATGTCGTTGTTGATAGGAATATTTGGTCAAGCTTTATTTGACTTTTTAACTGTGCATGTCATCTGTCGTAAATTTCGCCGTAGAAAAATGAATTATTATTTCTTTTTTTGATTAGTTAATTTCTGTTTCTATAGTAAATGAAGATAAAAGACATTTAAGTCTCATTATAAAGGGAGGATTGTATTATTTTGCATGGGTTATTCTAAAAAAATTGCACGTCTTTTTTTCCGATTTTACTTAAGTCAAAAAACAACCAAATATGTCGGTTCTTTGTATCTGATAGTATAGATTACTCATATTCAATAAAATGTATATATTGGAATATAAAAAAATGTACTTTTTTTCTTAATTTTAAAGTAAAAGAAAAAACATACAGACGAATTAAGTACCTCCTCTTTTGGGAAGTCGGTCAAAAAGTAAACTATCGTTGTTAATTACTTCAAGATGCTGTTTTATATTATTAAATTAAGAAACTATAGCATAACATTATTTACATATCCCATTTTGAATACTATTACTTTAGAACTTAACCATCCACCGACAAAGCGTAATGTAAATAAAAATTGACAGAATACAAACCTGGTGCACACGAGCGCAGCGAGCGGCGGCGTGGCGGCCGGCATGGTGGTGTCGTGGTCATGCGAGTTGTGCGGCAGACTGTTCGCCAACAGGGACGAGTGGAGCGCGCACGCCAAGTCACATCTGCCAGACAGTAAACTACTGCAGGATAAGATGCAGGCGCACCAAGTAAGTACCAAGATACCATAGAAATGTATAGGACAAACGTAGAGTAATCCAAAAGAAAATTTAGATACTTCAAAGTTTTATTTATGTATGTACTATTTGTATGACCACGTTATTTTGCTTACAGCAACAGCAGCAACAAGAAAAAGTCCATTTGACGAATCAGGAGAAGTTGCAGTTGCTGCATCATCACAATCAGAACCAGCAGATACTGAATGGGCACGGCATAACGACCGCCTCCGTGTCCACAGCCACCGTGGTAAACGAGGCCAGCGGCGGCGCGTACTTCACACACGGACACACGCACTACGCGCCCGAGCGGCAGCCGCCGCACCACCTCTGTCTCATGTGCAGGCAAGAGTTCGCCGGCAAAGCGGAATTCATGTTCCACGTGCGAGGGCACTTCGAGGGCAAAGTGAGCGACATCGCCGCCGCCGACGTGTTGGCCCGTTCGCTCGTCGACAACTCCGGGTTGTGTACCTGAGCCGCGCCAACGACCGTCAGTAATTACCAATCTGACGGCTGCAAGGCAGTGATACAGGACGACACGATACTGTTGAAGTTTTGAGAGTTAAGTGATATTTATGAGGAACTCATGAACTTGCTTTCAAAGTAGCACATAGTGTTATGCTGATAAGATTTCGTTCTCGGTAGTCGTTGAAAAAATTTGGATTCGAATTGATAAGAACATCTTGTACACCGACCAGTTTTAGTTATATTTACTATGGCTGTTAAATCAATCCTTTTACTTTTATGAAGAATTCCAACATTTGTGTAAAGGTTAATGCACATTCGTAAACTCTTCAAGGTCATGGCGAGGCGAGGCAGCGATGCTGTACCACACGGCACCGGAAGTTTACAAATGGGCTTTAAATATCTTTAACTCTTTCTTTTCACTATAAATTAATGCTATCATTTGCGACAGTGAAATAGACCGTAATATTTTTATACAATAACAAATAAATCCGTCCGATCATGAACACATTACACCACATTGTATTGTGATTTTTTTACTGTATCAACTTTTTATAATAACGACATGTGGAGATTTTGCGAAGGAAAAGAAATCGAATCATAAATATTACTGAACTTTTTGGACATCGATGTACAATTCTGCGAATGACTTTTTGTCGAGAATAGCTGTATGTGTACAATAGGTAGTAACGCTAGAATTTTTTGTTTTTAAAGGAATAGTTAATACAATTTATAAGGTAGAAACAATTTGACAATTTATTCCAATGGCTATTTTGATTTTATATTGATTTAGTTATTAACGATTTTGATTGTTACTTACTGATTTAACTAATTGTGTTTTTTTTGTTATTTCAATTATTTTTTATATCTGTTTTCCTTGTGTCTATAAAAAGTTAAAGTGTCCAATTTTTTGTGTTTCTAATGTTTTATATAGTCTTAATTTTTTTTTTGTTTCGTTCCACATTAACTATTTTTAGTCTGATACGGTTGTTACAATTTCATAGTAACTAGTTACAATTGTTTTTCGATAGGAATATAATTAATATTTTTGGTAACATTTGTCTTGATTGCATAATGCATTTTGAATTTAATATGCATGTAAGATATGCATCTTCTACTCGTATTCGTTTCTGTCAATAGTCGTAAGACTGTTATTTGCGATTTAAATACGTATTCTTATCTTAATATTGTACATAATCTGAGCCATAAACGGATTAGTGAATCTAGTCATTTTATATGTACATGAAACGTGAAATAATTTGTAAATAGTAATTTTTGTATTTATATAGACATGTATATAGGCATAAGATAACGTGTGATTAAATAATTATGTAGAGATTGAGGAACAGACAGTTTAGGAATATAGATACAGACACCCACGTACTTTTTAGTACAATAGTGAAATATATATCTGTAATATCAAGAATTTATGTTAGCTTTTATAGCAATTTTATATTAAACTGAACCAATTTAATTACAGCCACAATTAGTCATATAATGGCTTACGCAAGGGTTTTTTTTTTATATTTTCCATTATTTGTTTAGTTCGATGTATTGATTTTTAATTTTAATTTTGTTGTTGGTTACCATTGGTCCAAGACCATTGTGTCATATCTATTGTTCTAAAACAACCGAGACCACGTTTTTGTACATTTTTTCTGCAGTGAAAACTGACAGTTATTTAAACTTTTAGCTGTTAGAGAAGCAATCAAATATGTGCCTGTGATTAGAAATATTGATCGTAAGACCAAATTTATCTTCACTGCCAATATTAAATGGATATCTTAAAGAATATGCGAACAATGTAAGTCAATGTTTATACCTAAATAATGTAAACTCTTCCGCGATATTTTATATTTTTGTACATATTTAATGTAAAATCCGGATAATATACATTTATCTGCGTCTTTTCAACTATTTAGTACAAAATATCTGTTAATCTATCAGTTGTTCTTTTACATTTTGATTACAATTTATAGCACGAGATTATTTTGTAGTATTTCATTTTTTCATTTCAAACAGGCCGTAATAGCTATATGTATAAATATTCTGTCAACGCATAAATCTACATAGTAATGTAATGGTCATATAATGACTGAAGAGAAAATTGTAATTATCTTTAAATGTGTAAAATACGTAGATAAGTTCATATTAATATACTTTCAAAGGCGAACACAAACAACAATTATTTGGATCGTTGTTTTAAGTTTTGGAATGGTGTGGTTCGGATGATCCGATGTTACCAAAAAAATTTAAAACTAACAAACATCACTTCCAAAAATGTAAAATCTAATATTATAATTACCGCCTAGACAGCTGAACGGATCTCGACAAAATTTGGCACAGATGTGGAGTAGTTTGGAAGAACACTTAGGCTATCGCTTTTTATTCCGCGCCAACGGAGTCGTGGATGAAAGTTAGTTCAAAAATAAAAATAAGAGTGTAAATATTCAATTTTACGCAGTTTGTACGTTTAAAAATATTAGTTGCACCGCGTAAAAAAGGTTTTATGTCTAAGAGCATTAGTTTGAAAGAAACAAAGTCTTAATACGCATTAAAAAATTTAACCGGCTTCTAAAAAACAACCTCTTTTTAAGTATTTTTTTTAGTAACATCGGGTCAACATTTTGGTGTTTAGTCGTAAGGTGCAGTACATTGGCCTCATCTAGTTAATTTCTAAAGACATAAACTGTGATCATTGCTACAACATAGTTTTTTAAAACCTCGAACACACACCCATGGGATAAGCTCAGGGAGATGATAATTGTCATAATGATCATTATTATCTGATCTCATCACATTAAGATAATTCAGTTCAGTTTCTTGTCTATGGCACTCCCTTAGCGGATTGGGCCAACAAATTAAGATGATTCATAGACAACGTACGTCGCATAAAAAAAATCTTATCTTCTTTTTGACATTGAAATGTTCCTTATCTTTTCAATAAATATCTATAAAATTATTGGAGTATAGATAAAATTCACAAGATGAGGTCATTGTACGGCAAATATTTGCCCATTTTGGCAAATCAGAGCACGATTGAAGTTACAAATTCGAGTAGGTTAGGGCAAATACGGGTAAGGTTGCGTAGAGCACAATAGGTGGGACATATTTGCAATATTAGTAGGTCATAGGTTTTATGTTAATTTAAATAAGGTCAAATATCAAGCATGCTGTATCATGTACTTTATTAAATACTGTAAATAAATGTCACACAGACCAGTCAAACTGAATTATTTAAACATCTTGAATGATTCAGAAACCATTTGCGATAGCATTTTTGTATTACCTTAAGCTAGGAATTGGACGATAAACATTTGTGTTAGAGCACAAATTTGTACAAAAGCCTCAATTAGATCATGTTAATTTTTGCACCAAACATTGTTTATAAATGCATAAAATGAGCAATAATCATTGAGATGCCTTTATAACTTTCTTAATGTAATTATTTCGTATAGAAATCAACATGTAAATAATTATCTTAATATAATTGATTTAGGATTTAAAATTATTTAAATATTAGGATTAGGTATAATAAAAAATATACAAATTTTAGAAAAAAATTGGCTTTCGAATTGATCTCAGAAATCTAGTCTAGAATCTAGTCAAGGTAACAACAACCTTACGTTTGAATATGTAATATAAGTGAAGTTAGACTTTTAAGTTTTATTTAAGTATTACTTATGTATAAAATAAAACTGCCAAGAAACCTTATTTTACATTGCGGATATTCGTTATAAAAAAAACTTAAATTGATAAGAAAATCTAAGAACAAAACTGTCGCAATGTAAATTATTTTATGAATGTTTCTGCAATACAGTTGCGATTTGTAATTTAAAGTAGAAATAATCTGAAAACACAAGCTTACTCTTAGATTAGTCGTGAATACTAAAATTAGTAATTTTAGATGTTAAAATTGTAAAGTAAATAACGTTTTATTTTATCTTCCATGCTCTTATTAGGTTATTTAGCTATAATAATGTTACCTAATTTATTTTTCGACATGAAAACAGACTGTGAACCAAGGATTTATTTTCATATGCAGTTTTCTAAACCTGTAATCTTTTCTTGATTCTATTTTAATATTCTTATGTTTACAAAATCTTTTGTACATTTTAGCTTAAGGATTGCGTGGTTAAGGACTATAGATAAAAATAGGAGCAATAATTTATTATATTTCGTGTCGTTTCTGAATCGATGTTTAATTTGTAAAAGAAATTAAAATAGCAATGTAATTATTGTACAGTAGGAAATGTTGTGGAAAATAAAAAATAAACCAGTACTCTGACTATACATTATGTGTTTACCTTTTGGAAGAATGCGATTGTGGCATTGACCTCTATAAATGGACAGATTATAATCCAACAACCAGCACCACCGACAAAATGGAGAAAGGAGAGACAAAAATTTTACAGTGGTAGAGCCCGCTTTAACATCGCACGAATGAGCCAGCGTGCCCGGTGCAATACCACGACCACACAGAAGACAGGCATGAGGTGGAAACAATCCTGCGTTTCGTCTGATGAGTGTGGTGCGGGAGGCCCAATTTTAGTTCCTTTCCCTTTCGACGCCAATTCTTGAGAGTAAAGGATGGGAAGAAAAAGTGGATTTGACAGTGGCGGAGACGCATAGGAAGGGGAAATATCTTCTTTATGTACGTCTACAATCGTCGCGGATATCTATGGGCAGCGGTCACTTCGCTATTTCGGCGGATTCTGGTGGCCGCTTGCTCGTTTGCCGCCTTTTAATATAAAAAATGGAAAAGATCTCGAACTAATAATAGTGAAAGACATCCATTATTAACATCGCCTAATTATTCAGATCAGTGAATCGTGGAATGAGACTATCTTATATAGAACCGCTATACTTATTATTTATTATTTAACTATCAACCAGAAAGGAAACAATGAGAAATATTTGACATTTTACATAAAATGTCACGAAGATAACAAAATTTATAGTATTTTCCAGTTTTATGCAGTAAATTTATAACGCGTTTGATGTATCTTACAAGAATTAAGGTAAACATTTTTCTATAGTCGAGTTCTATCGATTTTAGATACCGGGTTTGTAGTAAATTATATTTAACATATACCTACAAATAATATCTAAGCTTTACTCTTATTATGTTAATAGAAATTGATAAAACAACTCAAATTAGTGAATATTGTACAACTATAAAAATTATCTTGTTTTAATGCTTATAGCAAAAGTACCTTTTGACAAAACTTATAGCCGTTTTGGAGTTACCTGCTAACAAATTCATCCCAACTAACTTTGTATTAATAATGTTTTATTCGCATTTACTATCTTAATAATATTATAAATGTGAAAGTTTGGAAGGATGGATGGATGTTTTTTAGAGTTTGTAGCCTAAAAGGCTGAACGGATCTCGATGAAATTTGGCATAGATGTAGAGGATAGTCTGGAAGAACACATATGCTTCTTTTTATATTTTTATATTAATACGTAACCATTAACCACGCGAACGGTGTCACGGGCGGAAGCTAGTGTAGTTATATTAGTAAGATAATATTGTTACGCGTGACGGTAGCAGCATCTACTTATAAAATTGAATAAGATTCATAATAAAATAAACTTTGTAATATGTAAAATTTGCTCTACAGTAGTTGTACGGAGACAACACGTACATCGTCATACATTTTATCATATTGAATAGTATATCTCTTCAAAGAAAAATACACGTACTATTTTAATTTACATTCTTGAATAGTCTTTACTTACCAAAAGGCTTATTTGTGTCCGCTTGCGCATTAATATTACATTTTTTATTTTAATCCAATCTCACTAATATAAATGCGAAAGTTATGGATGGATGTTTGTTAGAGTTTGTAGCCTAAACGGATCTCGATGAAATTTGGTATAGACGTAGAGGATAGTCTGGAAGAACATACCTTTTTTTAACTCAACGCGGACGTAGACGTGGTCGAAAGCTAGTCGTTTATAAATTTTATTTTTATTGCGTATTTTTTTTCACAGTTATTCCGACTTTGATAACATGGACACTGCCAGTATTCGTATAAAGTTCACACCTATGGTTAAAATAATTAATGAAAAAAAATTGATATACTCTTTAGAAATAACACCAGAAGTAGTGTATGTTGATAATGTTGATAAAATAGAATGGAAGAAAGAGAATGATTTGATTGAATATATTGTTCCAATGAAACATAGAATTGTTATTAGAAAAGCAACTTCCGAAAATAACGAAGATGAAAATAAGATATATTATTCCTGTGTTGATTTATTGCATACGAGATCTATAAATAATACTGAATTAGGTTCAGGAGATGTTTCAAGAATAATAAGTGATAATGTTATACTTAAAACAATAATACCGGATATAAGAAAAAATGAAAAATGTAAGATTACATTAACCAATAATCACAGACTGGACTTAGAGACAGAATTAGATAAGAAAGGAAATGACTTCTTTAACATAGAAAATGTGAAACAAATCCTACAAGAGAAAATAATACGCGAAACGAGTTTAATTCGTTTAAACAGAGAAACAATGAATCGGAATAAGATAAACAAGAATTGCGCCAAAAAAGGTTAATACATTTTTTTTTTATTTTCCCTAACATTTTTTGTTAAATGTGCCTTAAATCTTAAATCTGCAATCACGTATTTCATGAGACAAAAACATTTTATTTTAAATAAGTCTCAAATCTTAACACAAATTCTTATCAAATTGAATTTAAAAGCTATGTCGCATTCGTGTTTTTTTTTTTTTCAGAAAAATCTGACGACATTGAAATTCAAAATAATAGAAGACCTAGTAATGACAGTAATACGGACAAGGGTTCTGGAGGCGATAACGATGTAGCAGATTCCACTGTTGTTAAACTCCAATCAATAGCGACATTGACCAATTTGAATTCAACTTTCGATGAGAAGTCAACAATAACAACCTTTGTTGCATCTGATAATAATCCAACACCGCCGTTAAAGACTGTGTACCAAAATAACTCTTATTTCAATTCTAAAATGTATTATACTCTAACAACACAAACTTATAAGCTACAAGAGGATGTTGAAGTTGAAACAGATACAAAGACGTATAAAGAGAATCCACCAGATTTAAGAGTTGCTCAATTGAATGTTTTACCTGCGCTTAGATACAGTTATTTTAAACAAATCATGGAAAAGGAAATGTTACCTCTCCGTGTAAAGCTAAACGAATTAATAAATAAATGCATTCCTTTAGGTTTGAAGAAATCTCAATACCTCAAATCTTTCGTTTATTCTAATAGTTCAAACAAATGCAGTTTTAGGGAAAATCAGCTTGCATCAAATCGCGTTGTGTATTCAGTTGTGTTTAATAAATGAAAATGAATTGTAATTTTTTGTGCTGTTCGATCAATAAACCAATTTTTAAATACGATGATTATTTCAAACGTCAAACTTTCGTTTAGTTTAATCTAGAGTTATATTTTATCAAAACAAATGTCAATTAAAATAAGTATGAATTGTAGATTAGAGCAAAGACAATTTTATTTACAAAATTAAGGTAAATAAAACTTTGCTATCAGTAATTACAGCGAAACATGCAGTTCAATTCTAATATTTTCAGGTAATCTAAAATGGTTGTGTCGTAAAAAATCTAGGCTTAAGACAAATTATTGAATAAGAGTCATAATTCCTTTAACGACAATGAATGACGTAATGGATCAAATTATCGAGAGTTTAGCTTTCGAAATAGAAGCAGTACCTAATGAAAATAAAGGACAAATGTCTACTGGGTTAAACAGTGATCCAATAAACGTTAAAATACGAATACGGAACAAAGACCAAAATAAAATTTTAAGACAAGGAGTCATATCTATACCAAATAAAGATAATCCAATGTATAGTAGTGAAAAAATTCAGCTGAGCAACAGTGATCAAACAATTATGTCCTTTAACGTTTTAATGGAACATGAAGAATCTACGAATAAACAAAGGAAGCATAAAAGAAAGTTCAGATTTTTTAAAAGGGGTGAAGTATTCATGTATTTTCTTAATTAAATGTAAAAGTACAAAGAAATCTAATACAGCCCATGACAGATATCTTTTACATATATAATTTACCCTTTTTCTTTATAAATCTGTTAGTAATACATGTTCTGATTTTCTGTCCTTTACTCCAATAGGTAGTTGTTTAGGAAACCAGACCGAGGAAGATCATAATGACTTTCCAGAACGAGGTAACAAGAATAATAAACAGCATTTCCCGATAAAAAGCACGTCGATAAACGACATGAACAAGCGAAACTTCACTTTGACCAAAATGTATGGTAACTCTGATGCAAGCCGAATGGGAAAGCGTGCACACAAAGATATTTTAGGAGAATGTAAACCAGGTAAAAAAATGACATCAAAAAACAAATATAGTAATGTTATGGTGAATATGTTACACTTATTAATCAATATTCCATTAATAGGTGGCTGCTTAGACCCACCATACGGCGAAGACAAATATTCTTATGTACCGAAACTAATTCAAATGTCGAGAATAGATAAAAACTCGAATGAACGTAAATCCAGCGAAGTGGCATCTCAGAAACCATTAAGTAATAATACGAATATAAAAGAAATAGATGAAATAAGTTACGTTTCAGATAGGAAAGAGCAATTTCCTTACTCTACTTATGTCAAATTAACAAACACAAAACGTTCAAATTCGATTATCACTTATCCCTCAATATCATCTAATGAATCGCTTAATAAGGACAATATACAAAAACCAATTCAACACAACCATAATAATAGCAGGATTTCTCATATCTCAAATGATAATGTAGAAACATATTTTATATCGCCAAAGAAAATAAAAATTAACAGTTTACAAGAAAAAAACAGTAATTTAACTGAATCATATGCAGAAAAACATTCATTTGTAAAACCATCGTCCCAAGATCAAAATAATTTGAACGAATTTAGACCGGAAGTATTAAAAAGTAACGAAGATACATATCCAGAGGGTATTGTTGATTCTAAAATAACAATTCAGAGCAATAATAAAAGTTTTGAAAACGTCGATACTAACTTAACAACAGAATTTAGCAGCTTAGCTGATTTTAGTACCAACGCCAAAATTGCCCTGAATCTAACAAAAAATGAAGTTAATTCAAAAGGTTCGTTAACTTCATTAAATAAAACGATACACAGTGATACTCACGATACAAATTCATTAAAAGTATCTTTAAATTCCGTCACCATGTCCTCGGCAAGTTTAAAAATAGAAAATAAAGTTATCAGTGACACAGGTATTGCATATACAAATAACAGTATAGGAATAATAGAAAATAAAAACGAGATAATAAATAAAAAATCTAGCTCGGAAACATTTAAACAAGATCAGAATTTGATCTCAACAAAATTAGATAACGGAATTGAAATTACGGAACGTGAAAAAGACAATAACCATGAAGAAAACGGAGACATATTAGAACCAGAATGCCCACTTCAAAGCGAGGAAAAAATATTAATCAAAGAGATGTCCAGTATTAAGTCTTTAGGCTCAAATCTTAGTTTCAACACACAAAATGATACCAAAAAAGAGATTACTAACCTTGACAAACAATTGATTATAACAAAGGATTCTGTTTTCGATGAAAAGAGCATTAGCAAGGTATCAATCATTGATAATGATTTTGTACAAAACGAGAATATCTCAAACTTTAATCAAGAATTAATAACACCGTTAGCAGCTATTAACTCTATTTTAAATTCAGATTTATCCAATGTAGATACCAATAAAAGTATTTCTTTAACTGAAAAAAATGATGAACCTTATTTAGAACAAAACCAAGAGCAAATTTTAATAGGTGATGAAATAGATTCAATCATTATATCAAATGATAGTATTAATAACGCAAATATACAACAAGAAATCGAAACTAAAAGTTCTTCACTAACAGTTAATGATAAACATAGTTCAATACTGAGTAATGAAGTTGATAAAGCACCTATTGATAATATAGATGTTGACGATTACAACAACCTTACAAGATTGACTGATTTAAAAGAAAGTCAGGATCAGGTACAATTTTCCGATGATAAGGATTTACAAATTAGTGAAAAAACGGACACAGATAATTATTTGCCACACGATACAAATCCCGACCAAACTACCATAAGAAGCATAAAATCTGATGAAAAATCAAGCTTGGACATTGATTCTAAAGGTACAGACTTGTTAAAAGAAATAAAAAGCAGTCTTCTTGCAACTCGAAGTTTAACCGTAAGTATCAGGACAAAAAGTTGATGTTAAAGTGAACGTTTTTATAATTAGTTACTCTTTCTCTTTAATACAGCCTTTATTTCCATATAGAGTCTTCTACAAAGTACCTTTGCGATTTCACTACTTTTTATTGTTACAGAGTATGGAGAGAAATTTAAATAGATATAATACCTTGAAAAACCATCTTAACTCTGAACCTAAAGACTTCGATTCAGGAAGTGCTCCAATTACCAAGGCCAGTAGCCTTGGTAATTCTGTAAACACCGATATTACTGCAAATAGTAAAAGTAACGAACGCATAGAAATGTCTACTGCAGTTAATAACAATTTAGAAAAAGATAGTTTTAATGCGAAAAGTAAGATTGAATCAAATATTTCTCTAACCATTAACGAGCATGTAAAGACGCCTCCGCCAAGGGAACTTCAGCTTGTTAGTGATAAAAGTGAAATTCAATCCCAATTAAGTATAGACGATCCGACAAAGTTAAATGAAAACGAAAATCTGATAAACTTAAACAAAATATTATCAACAAATGAAGCTAAAATACAAAATTCAGATAAAACATTTGTAGAACTCGACGAAGAAAAAATCAATAACGATGAAAAATCTTTAATAGCAAAGTCATCAACAGAATCAGGATTAAAAGTCTCAAAAGATGGGGTAAGTTCAGTAAGCAATCTGGACACTTCAAGGGACAATCAATCGAATGGTTTGCGTCAAACATCAAACACGCTCGTCGACGATGATGCAAATAAAAAAGACAAACGTGATTTAATTCTTTCTTTATCAAAAGATAGTAATTTGAAAGATACGATTTATCTTAATATGGCATTCCAAAGCTTTCATACTGAAAAAGACGGAAACGTTATAAGAACAATAGAAACAACGAACAACGATGTAGAACGTTATGGAGACGATAATATTTTAAAATTTACGACAGTAGCGAGATTAGACGATATTCCAATATCAATACCTATAGACAAGGAAAAAAAGTTACTATTACAAATTACTAAGACTAAAGAAAATGAAGATCCAAATGTACAAGTAACAAAACAGGAATCTATTTTATTTAAACAGGACCCAAAACATAAACTAGTTGTATTTGATGAAGGTATCATTTTAATATTATTGGTTTGTTATATCACTCCTTGAAATGCCCATCACTAGCTATATATATCAGTAGGTTTAGTATCTAAAAGTGATGGGGAAATAATCTCATTTTTAGTTTTCGCAGCATTATCTTAGTGCGTGATTTCATTATATTTGCTTTGGTGATTTTCACATCGTTTATATAATTCGTGTTGTTTTAGATAACGATGATACATTTGCAAACAGCGATTTAGATAAGAAAAATTTAAGAGGCAGCATAAAAAAATACAACACAAATAATACGGAACATGAACGAAATTTACAACTAACTTTAGATAGAGTGTACAACCAGAAACTGTTGCCTTTACACAATAAAATTAAAGATTTAAAAAGTGTTATAGATGGATTACTGAATCAACAATTGGTTATCAAAGATAAGTTAAATAATGATAAACGAAAACGGTTACATACGATGCCTAATAGTTATAAAACATGCTGTTGTATGGAACAGGTATTATTGAAACACAAAATGTGACTAAGAAACTTAAATAAATACATTAACATAGTACGCAGCTGGATCTAACATTGTAAAGTTTCAATAAAATGGTCATTTATCTCGTGGATATGTTTGGACAACAATAGTATCTCAATACTCATTCTGAACTACTTATCTACTAATATGTAAATGTTGTCATAGTATTATAAATACAGTATTAACATTTATAATAATTCGTGTTTCATTTTGTAAAGAGATTTTGAACAGTAACGACTCATTTAAATATATTGTATGAGGAAATTCTGAACAGCGATGTTTATCCCCCATGAACCTAAAAATAGGCGAACAGCTGAAAGATAAGACAGTCGCGTATAGGATTGTAATAGAATGCGTTGTTTTTTTGCTGTGAATTGTTAACGTGATCGAAGTGGAATACAGTAGACGAAATTTGTAGTGGTACCAAATAGATGAATAAACCTTAAAAATTTCAAACATAAGTTGATCTATGTAAGGAGTGTAGAAGAGGGAGGAAATTATTTGTCTCATCATTTTTATAAATAATGCTTTTTAATGATGACAAGCATATTTTTATTATTATATTTCTTAACTACACTTCTTTATCACAACAATTATAAATTAGAAGCGCAGTAATACACGGTGACGACGGTCGGCTGTATGTGTTAGATTAAATTTAATTGTAAAAAGTGAAAAATGAGGTAAAATCGTGAGATTTTTAATATATGATATAAAGGTTTAATTATAAAACGATAAAATGAATCAAATCGGCTCAGTGAGTGAGATTGTTGAGAAGAAAAAAGAAAATGCAGCAACCTTTGATCATGCTATGCATGTTGCAGGTTAGTATTAATATTTTACTAACAGGGATCAATTTGAAGAAACTATATAACTTTATTTAAATGAACCATTGTTATTATCGTCATTGTTTTAGCGTTTAAATCATTTTGACAAATGAATAAGATATTATAGAAATAACCTTATTCTGACGCATCAATTATTTTTTTAGGTCTCGGCTGGTACAACATCAAGTACTGTTTAGTATTGGCACTGTTTCTCATAGCAGCGATAGTGGAACCAGTTGGGTACTCCTACATATTGCCAGCATCTAAATGCGATTTAAACATAACAGATGGTCAACGAGGATTTCTGGCTTCTGTCCCTTACATAGGTATGTCACATATCTTGTATAATATGCTATGCCAAATTTCTTCCAGATCAATTCAGCCTTCTAGGCTACAAATTCTCCATCCATCCAAACTTTCACATTTACAATTTTATAATATTAGTAAGAGTAGTAAGTAATGTAATATTAGACTACCCCAATATTATACCAATTAAATTGTATCACATTTTATCCAAAATTCAGAGATAACGAGATAAAAAGAAAAAGTGTAGTAACAAAAAAAACTAACCGATTTATTGCACCACAATAATTAATTACAACACGTACGTGTACAGTTTTCTAGCAAAGGCGGACATAACGCAAGTCATATATTAGTGATCGAGTGATTATTGTCAATTTTGATACATTGTAGTCTTCTTTTTGTCAAAGAGAGTGAAAGGGATCTCATTATGTATTTACACGTAGAACTAAAAATGCCAAAAAATTATAGGGATAGTACGTAGGGACCTAGGCCGTTAAAGGATTTATTTGAAAAAGCCCTGAACACGTAGCTAATTATTTGTTCTCCAAAGTGTTTATGCCCACTTTCAAGCAATAAGTAAGGAACGATAATATAAGATACCATAATTCCATCTCCACAGATCTTGTAAGAAATTCAAAGATGTTTGTGAAATTTATGAAACAGTAATATATTGTATTAAATCATTGCTGCAGGTATTGTACTAACATCATTTCCATGGGGTTACTTAGTGGACACTCGAGGCAGGAAGAAATCACTGATCTTTAGTTCTCTGGCAGCAGGCGTGTTTATAGTACTCTCTGCGTTTATGCCAAACTTCATTAGTTTTGCTGCTTGTAAATTCTTGTCGGCGTTATGGTAAGGTATTACAATTATTGTAATTTATTAACTACAAGCTGTCGCCCGTAAACTTCTTTAGCGCAAACTTAAAAGAAATTGTCGTCTATTAAATTCCCCCATCCGTTTACCTTCTACGAGCTACACTCCAGTTGAATGCGGTCCACCCGTTACGGAGTTAGCGGTCCGGTCACTATTTTAACAGCACGGAATTAAAAAAATAAGTAGCCTATCAATATGCCCGTCCATGTCAGCAAACCTTCAGTGAAAGTGCCGTCGAAATTGGCTAAGCCGTTTTGAAGATTCTTGTTGTCAACTTTGTTATAAACTTCGTAAATGGTTTTAATTTTATCGATTGTTAGACAATTTATGAAGTCTTATTTGTATTACAGTACAGCATGTCCAGCATCAGCACCGTACACATTTATAGGAGAGCTCGTCCCCCTGAAGTACAGAGACATCACTTTATCTGTCACCAACGCAATGCAGATATTGGGATCGGTTATAGTACCTTGTATGTGTTTTTTATATTATCATCTTGCATTAGCATCTTGCAGATTACAATTTGTACTTTCACTTTCAAAATAATCATAACAATTTTACATTACTTTCCAGTGTTTGCCTGGGCCGTCCTACCTTTAGAATTTAGGGTGGATTTTGGAGCTTACGAATTTCGACCGTGGAGGGTACTAACAATGATGTACGGCTCTTTATTCATCATAGCAGCTGTTTTATTATTATGCGGACCTGAAAGTCCAAAATATCTTATATCTCAAGGCAGATATGATGAAACTCTGGATCTGTTAAAGATGATATACTCGAAAAATAAAAGGAAATCGCCTGACGAATTTCCGGTAAGTCATTCTAGTTTTAAATAGCATTTTTTTTAATTTAACCTTTGCATGATAAAACTTTACTTACGTATGGTTTGCAGTAAATTATATTACCTTAACAATTATTAACAAGGTAAAATGCATTTAATTTTATACTACAAGTTATATATACTGCAATGTTTAGATATTTTCAGATAAAGACACTTAAGATTGAAGAAACTGTTCAAAAAGAAAAACTTGGATTATTTACGTCACTGAAAGTACAATCATTGCCACTCTTTAAACCGCCTTATTTAAAATGGATGGCTCTGAACAGTTCTATCTTCTTTGGATTACTTGCGACGTAAGAATTTTGTTTCCAGATTTTATATTTCATTTCATTTTTGGAGTAGGAAAACTATTTTGATACACAGTGCCCATAAATTAATCATTATCGTTGAAAGCGTCATTTTCAATTTATATAAAAACTAGCTTTCGCCCTTGACACTGTGCGTGTGGTATTGGAAAAAACAAAAGTGAAAAGCCTATGTGTTCTTCCAGACTATGTTCTACATCTATGCTAAATTTCATCGAAATCCGTTCAGCCGTTTAGGCTACAAACTCTAAAAAACATCCATTCATCCATCCATCTAAACTTTCACGTTTATAATTTTAGTAAGATTAGTAAGATCTAATATTAGTAAGAAGTAAGATATAAGATTAGTAAGATAAATGTTTACATCTCTGAAAGCATTTGCGTCATGCTATAGAATTTACAGTAATTAAATTTACAATGTGTGTTCTTTTTAGAATAAATGGTCTTTATATATGGGTACCTGATATTTTAAATCGCGTACTAATGGGTGATAGCGAAGGAGCCACCGCATGTGATGTTATCGCTCAAAGACTCAACACTGTACGTATTATTTTAACTGTATTCAATGAAATCTTGGTAGGAATTAATACCATGTGTATTCTAAAGTAAAATGCGACAACACATGTAGATTTCTTAAAATGGTCACTTAAACTACGGCTATCAAGTGTCCAATCTTCTACAACTTTCAATTCCTGTTTTCTTCCACCGAGTTCTCCCTTTTTTACTTATCTGCTTGCTTATCTGTCATAATGTTCTGAATATTTATGAATAGTGATACTTTTTTTCTTAAGAATGGAATAATAATACTACGGATCACGTAATGTAAATTGATACGAGGCTTTAAGACAGATTACTTCGTGTGTTCAACTCCTTTAAATTAGTACTCGCTTTAATTCTTCTCTTTTTTGTAGACGGCAGACGATTTTCTCGAATGTTATGATTCTCTGGACACAAGCACCTTTCTTATCAACTCTGTGGCGAATTTAGCTTGTGCCGTCATCGCTATCGTAGTCAGTAGTACAGTCAAAATCATCGGCAAGAAGAACCTTCTTATCTCGGTGTTTTTGATTATCGGTCTCTTCTGTGTACTAGTTAATGTGGTGACGCAAGACATTTTGTTTGTTATATTCCTGTCTGCGATGCCTGTGCTAGGTTTAGCGATTGGACCAGTTAATGCATACGCTGTAGAAATATTTCCAACACATTTAAGGTAAGTAGTATGTTTAACACATATAACTAGATAATTACTATTAGTAACTTTGTATCGATTTCACATGAAGTAGGCGGCTTTGCCGTTGCTTCATAGAGGAAGAAAAACTACCTAAACAAATCTCTTTACTGACACAGAAATATATTTACCATTTAACTTACAAATGTAATTAAATCCCGCTATATACAGTCAGTTAGTTTAACTGTACGGTTAAAGCGTTGCCTACATACGTACAGTTAGAACTTAGTGTATTTGGACTTAAATAAACTACTGGCCCATAGAAATGAAATAAGGAAATTTTATCTTTATACGAGAAGCTCATGATAATTCTCATTTGCAGAGGTATGGCAGTCAGCTTATCGATGATGATGGGTCGATTGGGCTCAGTATTAGGAGCTAATATCGCTGGGATTATGTTGAACGCTGCCTGTGAAGTTACATTCTATTTCTTTGGAGGATTACTAATGTGTATGTAGTTCAGAAACAATATGTTTTTTGTTTGTTTATTGTATTTTTTTAATTACGTATATTTTTTTCCAGTTTGTGGTTTGCTATCGTTCCTGATGCCCTCGTCTAAAGCAAAACAGACCAAAGAAATGATTATAACAAAATTGTGAATAAATTCTTAGCGAAGCAAATTGAATAGTGATTTATCGCTAATGATAGTGTAATGTAAAAATAGTCAAGTAACATAAAAAAATGTATCCGAATAAAATTTATTTTTATACTCAATCTACTTTTTGTCTCATCATCCTATACAATTAAAATTCCATACGTCATAATCCTTACAATAGTATAAATCCATGTTCTTTATTTAAAGTTAGTTAGTTTGCAAATATACTACTAATTCTGATAAGAGCAGTTTAAAATCTAACAAAGAAAAGCATGTATTATACAGTGAAGTATGTTTTAAAATAAACTTCGGATATTATTAAAAGGTTAGGTAGGCAGCTATTATTATTTTTTTATAGCATAAGGTGGCAAACGAGCAAGCGGCCACCTGGATCCGCCAAAATGGCAAAGCGACCGCTGCCCATAGACATCCCGCAATTGCAGATGCGTTGCCTACCCTTATACGACGAAGGAGGAGACGCATATAAAGAGGATATTTCCCCTGCATATGCATCTCCTCCACCGTCAAATCCACTTCCCCTTCCCATCCTCTCCTTATAAGAAAAGGGTGGTAAAGGGAAAGGAACTTAAATTAGGCCTCCGGCACCACATTCATCAGACGAAACACGGAATTGCTACCATTTCACGCCTGTCTTCTGTGTGGTCGTGGATGTTAAAGCGGGCACTACCACTTTTAAAATTTTTAAAATAAAATTTAACTATTATTAGTCAAAAGTAGATAGATTAAAAACATTACTCAAATGGGATTGTAAATACAAACACAAAGAAAACGGCAAAAGAAATACCATGAAAGTAAAACAATATGAAACATTACGCATGTAAAATTGCAATGTGACTGTGATTCTATAACCGTAAAATTTGACAGCCGTCACACATGAATTGGAACACATTGTTGTCTCCTAAAATGCAAAGAAAATGTGAAGGACGACAATATCTTTTCTAACATTACGATAGTGGAAAGATTTGTATTTTTATAATCAACTAACTGTTGCCCGCGACTTCGTCCACGCAATATTAAGAGAAGAAGTAGCCTATATATGCCCGTCTATGTATCTATGAAATCGACCCAGTCATTTCGGAGATTACGTGAAACAAATGCACCTTACGGATAGACATACAGACAGACAAAAAAAAATTTAAATGCGATTCTAGTTTTTAACAACGCAAATACATCATCTTCCCGAAATGTGAAATTTTTCTTTTGATATGACAAACAGACACTCCAATTTTATTATATCTATACTAATGTTATAAATAGGATAACTTCGTTTGTTTCATTGTAATGAATGAACTCAAAAACTACTGGTCCAATTTCAAAAATACTTTCACCATTAAAAAGCTACATTATTAATGTATTTTACTTTTGATTTTTTTTTAACCCGCGCGGACCAAACCGCGAGCGACAGCTAGTCATTTAATACTTCTTACTTTATACTTAATTCTACAGTCCAAACGTGTTCTTTAAAATGTAAAAAATGTTACAAGATAAAAACCATGTATAGTTTGTCTTGTAATACGTTTCAGCGAATAATCGTACTTTCGCGAATAACTTTGGAAAACGATTAACATGTAAATACATGTATTAAATATGTCTTAGTAAAAAAAAATTTCATTTTATGTTTTATTTAGTAAAATTAGAAATCCTCTTGGTATGGGCTTAAAACTAGATTTTTTTAAGGAACAACAAGTAATTAATATTGTAAGTGATGAGCGACGTATTAATTAGTCCTATGTAAAAATATTACATACTAGCTTTCGCCCGCGACTCAGTCAGCGTGGAATTGAAAAAAAACAAAAGTGAGTTTTCCAGACTATCCTCTACGTCTATCCCAAATTTCATCGATATTCGTTCAGTTGTTTAGGCTACAAACTCTAACAAACATCCAAACTTTCGCATTTATAATATTAGTAAAGAAGTAAGATACCAGTAAGATTTATGTATGTATTTTGTAAATATTGATTATATTTCCATGGTTTACTACCGTAACATATTTGACAATGAAAAATTACATACAATATTACCTGTGCGCGGAAGGTTTGTCTTCCTTACCACTAACACTGACCGCATTCAGCGCTCATCTGTTCCTTTTAACACGTGACGTCACGAAGCCATCGGCAGAGATTCTACGCACTAGTATCGCAATGTTTTTTAGATTATGCTTATTACATTACACTAGTTGATAAAGAAATCTACAATATCGATACCAAAAACTGCTAGTCATTATTTCATAATAATGAGATACTGTTCGGTGTAATATAGTTTTTACATTTTTTTATATTTTATCGCGCATATCTTTGCTGGCGTCCAAAGCACCATACCAAAGTTCCATCACATTCTGTCTCGTAGAAACTCGTAAGGGACAAATGTACAAAGCATAAACACTTAATACCACATTAATATACAAACACTAAAAATCACGAGTCTATAAAGTGCCAAATACCATCGTAACCTCGATGGTTGGTATTCCACAACGACGAGGTTTTCATGTACCCTCCTACCTCGTACAGCCGAGGTGTGGTATATTCTGTCCTCAGTGGTATTTCCGAGCAGTTACGACGTATGCCTACAAAAAATGAGCGTACTACTCCCTTAAAGGCCGGCAGTGCTACTAGAGTTCCCTTGGCGTTGCGGATGTTTATAAGCGATGGATCCATCAATATCAAGCGACCCGCTGCTTGTTTGCCCGATTTTCCATTAAAAAAATCAACTTAACTAATATGATTCCAAAGAGATTAAACATAATCATATTAGTGCTATGCAACAGTGAAATCCCCAACCGATGGTGAAGGCTAGGTCTAGAGGGGGGAGGTGGAAAGCTACCAATAATATGGCCTCATTGGAAGTATGTTTCATACCTAATCTTACTAGTTAATATTATAAATGTGAAATTTTCGATGGATGGATGTTTGTTAGAGTTTATAGCCTAAACGGCTGAACGGATTTCGATGAAATCTGACATAGACGTAGAAGATAGTCTGAAAGAACACATAGGCTATCCACTTTTGATTTTTTTTCAATTCCACGCGGCCGGAGTCGCGGGATAGCTAGTTTTAAATACAGTTGTGTTATCTCTAGGGCAACAGCCCCCCTTCTGACTGTTCTAAGCAAAGTTCTCGTTATCTCAGTTAATTCATTAACTGAGATAACAAGAACATTGTCGTATGGAAATTTATTTTAATCATAAATTAGCATGACGTTTTACATCTTTAAACTGAACACGAATGAAATAAGCATAGCCTTATTAAATCGATGACAATGTTGGCGAGGTTACTGTTATAAGGTGTAGGGAGTTTGAAGCTTAGAAAGTCCAGTAGTGGACGTCTTTCAGATTAAACCTAACCTTGATTAATTTATCTATTTCTATTAAAAAATATTGCTCAACAAGGAAAGAAAATGATTATTGAGTTTTTGAATTAACGTGTCTAAATTATATGATATGATAAATTAACTTTATAGCTTATTATCTTTGTGTATTTTATCAAAACATTTATAAATTAGCAGCGCAGAAGTATACACTAGCGACGGTCGTGTGTATCATAGATTAACAATTATTATTAACAGTGGATAATTAATTTGTTGTGATTTTTTTTTATAAATGTTCGAGATATTTAGAAAACGAAACGATGAATGGAAATCAAGTTGATACAGTGAGTGAGATTGTTGAAACGAAAAATGAAAATGCAGCTAATTTGGATCACGCTTTACATATCGCAGGTTTGGACACATGTTTTAATGTTGAATCATTCATTTATATCTATTGTTTTTTTAATTCTATACTATATTAAATTATATCTATTTTAATTATGTACTTTCACGTTTATCTAAAGTAAATTTAAATAATGTAACTTTCATATACATAGAAAGGTCATTACGTTATGTTTTTGTATCTACTTAAGTTGTTAAGTTGTTAGTATCTTTGCTATTGTTTCTGTATCCCAATATAATTAGTTATTTACGAAAATTACAATTTATTTTTCTATGTCAGTCAGCAAATCTGATGTACGAATTGCATTCCCTCTCTGTGAATTTATGACCATATGACAAATCGATAAAACAAAGCAACTTTGTACAAATATCAAAATGAACACGTTCGAATCGCCAAGATTTCTTAATAATTTTCTCTGTTTTACGATGAGTACACCAAATAATTACCTAGCTATTAAATATTTTTTTTAGGTAGCATAATTAACATTAACCGCGAAATACGAAATGGAATAAAAAAATGCTTATCATAAACAGTAGTATATGTAGTAACCAGTTTTAATTTTAAGTTTAGGTAAAAAAAATGATAGATTTGAAAGAACGTAAAGTATCTATGTTTTGTGAAGATATCAATAATGTGGTCAAAGACCGATAAATGTGTTGTTTAATTTTTTTTATTATAATTAACTTACTTATTTATGTTATATAAACAATATTATTGTAGAGAAGAACTAGATTTACATACTCTAGTCCCTGAGATAAGCTTGATCAAACAACATCGTCGGTTTTATTATATTGTGTAGATAGATATCTAGCTTGTCTTTGTTTCTTGTAAACTGGAATGCTTCTAGGTCTCGGCTGGTACAATATCAAATACTGTTTAGTGTTGGCACTGTTCCTCATAGCAGCGATAGTAGAACCAGTTGGGTACTCCTACATATTGCCAGCATCTAAATGCGATTTGAACATAACGGATGGACAGCGAGGGTTTCTAGCCTCGGTACCATACATAGGTAAGTTTTTTTTTACTAGCAGGTGCTGTGCACACCTTAGGTTCTTAAATTAAAGTAAACTAAATGTCGTTAGGACCCTACGTTATAGTCATATTTTTAGACATCACGGAGTTTAAATCATTTTAAGATTAAAATATACTTACTAAAGGTTTACTATGTATTGGAATTGTACATCTATTACATGTAACCACAGATGATAAAATAATTTCTTCCTCTGAAAAAGCCAAAGAAACAAGATTAGAATGGAAAAAACATAGATAATGTTAAAAGTTAAATAACATAGTTACTATAGGCCATCTATACTTAAATAAATATACTTTCATAACAACGCAGTATTTAATTTTTTTTAAATACATCACTTTAAATGTTCTGTTTCTTATTATTATAGGTATAGTACTGACGTCATTTCCATGGGGCTACGTAGTGGACACTCGGGGAAGGAAGAAAGCACTGATCTTCAGTTCGTTGGCGGCTGGCTTTTTTGTGGTCCTCTCAGCGTTCATGCCAAACTTCATTAGTTTTACTATCTGCAAATTATTGGCGGCATTATGGTAAGGTATCAAAATTAATATATTTTTATTACATCAATGTAAACCGATTTTCGTGATAATTGTTAGCTCATAAATTTTGGACATTCTAAAATATTTCTAATGAATACGTATTACATTTTTATTTCCTGATTTGCTACGTTTTATCTTATCTACAATTTGGCTTGTCATTTTTTTTTACTTTATCATAAAAATCAGCAGTAGCTGGAACTATCCAATTATTTCCTGTTTTTATCATTCTTATGACTAATCTAAATAATCCTTATGGAGCAAGAGGATATGGATCGGCATTAGCTCAGGGCCCTTCACTTGTAATTTACTGATCGTAAGTTCGAATCCCGCCATGTACAGATGTGATGTTCGATTTTAGTATTTCATATAATTTACTCGACGTTCTTACGGTGAAGGAAAACATCGTGATGCCAGCGTTGTTACTAAAGCCTTGTCACCCCTAACTTAGGGTAGACTCTGAGCCCCTTAGTTGAATTAACGTATCATAAGGGTGTAGGGTGTAAGGATGTAGGTGTAGTATGCTGGTCTCGATGATTATGATAATGATGGCGGATGATAAAATACTCATAAACAATTTGAATTTGGGTCATCACTTACCGATTATGAAAGTCATATTCTGCAAATAGTTAGTTTTTAGTATAGTTATAAATTTTTGTTTTTAGTATAGCATCTCCGGCGGCGGTGCCTTACACATTTATAGGAGAGCTCGTCCCCCTGAAGTATAGAGACATCACTTTATCAGTCACTAACGCAATGCAGATATTGGGATCCGCTTTAGTTCCTTGTAAGTATCTTTAACGTTACTAACAAACTGAACACCTTGAACTTAACCTTACCAATATTTTAAATGCGAAAGTTTAGATGTATGGATGTTTGTTATAGTTTATAGCATTAACGGCTGAACTTATTTCGATGAAACTTCGTACAGATGTAGAGGGTAGTCTGGTAAAACACATAGGCTACTCACTTTTGTTTTTTTAATACCACGCGGGTGGAGACGCCGGCGAAAGCTAGTCTATAAATATATTAGTATAACATTAGTCACATAGTCGATACTTTCAAGGTTTTTTTCATACATATGACTTCAGAATAACTTAGAAATTCCTGCATCTCTTGTACAATTTCAAATCAAAGAAGAATTTTGCCTTGAACTAGGAACTAACTTAATCTATTCTCCACTAAATGTTAAATACATTACTAATGTTTGTTTTCTAGTGTTTGCCTGGGCTATCCTACCGTTAGAGTTCAGAGTGGATTTTGGAGCTTATGAATTTCGACCATGGAGACTACTCACAATTGCATACGGCTCTATATTTATAATAGCTGCGCTGTTACTGCTGTGCGGACCAGAGAGCCCGAAGTATCTCATGTCTCAAGGAAGAGTTGATGAAACCTTCGACATAATGAGAACTATCTATTCGAAGAATAAGAAGAAATCTCCTGATGAGTATCCTGTTAGTGTATTACTTCTATTATCTGCTTATAGCGCCTGGAGAAAATGATTTAGTTTATTCTACGATACTTTACCTTTCTATTATTGTCTCACTGGAAATATATTGTTAGCAAAATAGCAATGGATATAATAATTGGCGTTTATAGCTATTGTGTAAATGATAACAGTTACAGATTCGACAATGCCAATTATTTGTGTGGTTTAGTAATTTCATCCTGAATGTTAACTTTCAGATTAAAAGCTTAAAGACGGATGAATTTGTTAAAAAAGAAAAACTGGGTTTCTTCACATCATTGAAAGTACAATCGATACCTTTGTTCAAACCACCGTTTTTGAAATGGATGGTTCTTAACAGTACTATCTTCTTTGGTTTATTTTCAACGTGAGTATTATTACCAGTTGTTTGCAATTTCTATTGTTTAATGTACAAAGCATCTTTTATGGTTTGTATATTTTGATGTAACTAAATAATTCACTTTACATTATTAACTGTGGTTATTCTTTCCTATCAATTTTCAGAATAAATGGTCTTAATGTTTGGATACCTGACGTGTTGAACCGAGTGCTGTCAGGCGACGGCGAGGGAGCCACTGTTTGCGAAGTCATTGCCCAGCGACTTAATAGTGTAAGTAAAATTATGTTTTGTAATTGAAACTGATTAAACTATCAATTATTACCTGTTTCCCATCTTTATCCCCATGAAATTATTAAATCTTTATTTCATTGTTTACAATTGACAAATTCTCAATAGCAAATGTCAAAATTACCGTTACCAAATAACCTTACTTCCTTAATGTTGGTAGCTTGTAGTTTATGGTCTCTTTTCCACATGAAAGTTATTTTACAATTAACTTACCCCCTAAGTTTAATAGTGTGAAAATATATAGCCTAAACCATGTCATAAATGTAGGGCATTTTATTTAAATAATAATTTCATTTTATTTAAAAAAATTTATATAAAAAAAGCATTTTATTAAAAAATTTCAAGATAGGTACAACTCTAGTATAGTTAACGAAGTTGTTCGTTTTAGTCTAATATTCTTTTCTTTTCAGCAAGCATAAAAATTAAACTCAAAAATGAGTCTTTTGTTTCAGACTGCAGATGAGTTTGCCGAATGTGACGATACTCTGGACACGATGACTTTCCTCATTAATTCTGTTGCCAACGTAACATGCGCTGTCATTGCGATCGTAGTCAGCAGCACCGTGAAGATAATCGGCAAGAAAAACTTACTTATAGGAGTACAGTTTATAATTGGTTTATTCTGTATACTGATAAACGTGGTAACACAAGAGATTTTGTTTGCTATATTCCTATCATCGTTGCCAGTTCTCGGTTTAGCGATTGGACCAGTTAATGCTTACGCTGTGGAAATATTCCCGACACATCTAAGGTGAGTATCTGGAATATAGTATCACGACAACGAATATCGAAGGCGTAGAACTTGTAATGTAAATTTCTGGATTTTTCATACGTGATTTTTTTTAAATCAAACCTTTTTTTTGTTAACAGAGGCATGGCAGTAAGTTTATCAATGATGATCGGTCGTTTAGGCTCTGTTTTCGGTGCTAATGTCGCAGGCATCATGTTAAATGCAGTCTGTGAGGCGACATTCTATTTCTTTGGAGGATTTCTAATGTGTAAGTTGAAAATCCAAATGTACGGAAGAGAGATGTTCATTAAAGTACTATAATTAACAAAGAATATGTAATAGATCTTTCTTTCAAATTAGTAACTGATACTACGATAATACGATACAATAATAGTTTTACCTTTTTTCAGTTTGCGGTTTGTTGTCATTCTTGATGCCGGCTTCTAAGGGAAAACAGACCAAAAAGGCGATAATGACAAAATTGTGAATTAAAACAAATGTAATCTGTAATGTACAAATTTAGTTTAAGTCGTTTAGGATAAGATAATTTTAATGAATAAAATTAATTTAAATTGATCTAATTTTTCCTTGCATCATTTATATAGCTCTGAATTATTCATTCTAAAGAGTAAAAGAGTATCAAATTGAATTTGATTGTCCTACTTTGGTATTTACTTCAAATGAAAATAAAATATTCAGTTGGAAATGTACCTCAAACATGCATTTTAAAAACTTTAAGTATGATGGACACCGACAATTGTCCAAATTTAAAATATGGCACGTACAATGTCAAAGATTGATGATCTTTTTCTTTTTATTACATTAACGAAATTAATTATTAGACCTACTTACAATTCTTAAACAGTTCTTAAATTTTAGGCGTTAATCTATTTCTAGCATTCAGTTTATTTTAAAGTAGTTAGAATGAATTTTACTTAATAATTTTTATTCAACCTCAAAACCTTGATAGCAAACCCGTTTTAACTAACACAAATATACAGCGTTAAAAGAAAACGGTTGTGCCTATCTGCAAAAATAAAAAAAAAACACATTTTTCCTACCATCGAATTTTCACAATGAAATTCGGAATATGGAAAGGAAGAACCTTTTCTGGCAGGGTAGAAGAAAAATGTATTTACGAAGCTGACTTAGATCAAGCCCTTGATATAGCTGGTAGGTTTTTTTTTTTAACTTTTATTGCTGCAATATCAAATAAGATTAACGACTTAGGGTCTTCAAGAAGCGAGCATTTGTAGTTCCTTTGGCGTTGCGGATATCATGGGCGTCGTTGGTGTTTGCGCCGCCCGTTTGCCCCCCTCCCCTTTTATTATTAAAAATACATATTTTATACAATCTATACTAATTTTATAAAGAGGTAAGATTTGTAATTTTGTCTGTATTGATGTAACTCAAAAACTACTGGGTCAATTTTAAAAATTCTTTCACCATTAAAAAACTACGTTATCATCGAGTAACATAGGCTATATTTTTTATTATTTTTAATTTCACATCGATGAAGTCGCGAGCAACAGCTTGTTAATTATAAAATATCAATGAATTTCCAGGTATTGGTTGCTATAACATCAAATACTCTTTATTATTAGCATTTTTCTCAGTAACATCAGTAATAGAACCATTTGGATATGGCTTCGTATTGCCTGCAGCTAAGTGCGATTTGCAAATGACTGAAACTCAGCGTGGAGTTGTTGCTTCTATACCTTATATAGGTAAGTAAGTTTTTATATTATACCCTTAAAACGACATTTTAGCTAATCTCTCCAAAACTTAGTGTCGCTTAAATTATAGTGTGTAGTAACTATAAGTTATCACAAGTAAATACACACGGCTAATAAGTGCGATACGAAAATCAATAATAGCTTAAACGACCAACCTCTGTTAAGACCTGACACGTGAAGAAGATAACTTTATTTGAGTTTTTTACACCAAACAACCAACAGCTCTAAAAAGAAGAAAGTTGGTGGCTCAGATTCATCTTATTTATACAAAATATCACTGAACATTTATTTTTTAGGTATTTTAGCATCTTCGTTTCCCTGGGGCTATCTTATCGATACCTGTGGAAGAAAAAGATCTCTAGTTTACAGTTCTCTGCTTGCTGGTATATTTTCAATAACATCTGCATTTATGCCAAATTTAATATCATTCGCTGTTTGTAAACTACTCGCGTCATTGTGGTAAGTCATACTAATATTATAAATGTGAAAGTTTAGATGGATGATTGAATGTTTGTTAGAGTTTGTAGCCTAAACGGCTGAACGGATCTTCACGAAATTCGGCACAGATGTAGAGCATAATCTGGAAGAACACATAAGCTACTTTTTATACCCGAAATGTAACGGTTCCCGTGGGATGTATTAATTTTGTATTTTAATGTTTACTCGATAATTCTGCAACGGTACAACATATCTTATTGAAATTTGGCACAGACATAAAACAAAGTCTGGAGTACATATGGGATAAGGTTCATCCCCGAAAAACGCTCGGTTCCCAAAGGAGACGTAGTTTTTACATAGTTCGTCTGGTTTCTAATACCACGCGGACGAAGTCGTGGGCAACAGCTTGTTTTAATATGTACGAAATCGGACACGTAATAATATATCTGTTTAGTCTTTATTTTATTTTAGTTTATCGTGTATCGCGGCCGCACCATACACCTATATGGCTGAAATTTTGCCGCCTAAATACAGAGATTTGGCAGCATCGGTTATGAATCCCCTACAAATATTGGGTTCCGCATTAGTGCCTTGTAAGTTTGCCCCTGTCAAAAATATTGCAACAATCTATCTAATCTAATCTAACTATTTTTTAATATTAAATGTATAAATGAATGGATGGATGTTTTTAAGAAATTGTAGCTTAAATGGCTGAACAGATCTCGATGGAATTTGGCATAGATGTAGAGGAAAGTCTAAAAGAACACATAGACTATTCACTTTTGTTTTTTTTAATACCACGCGGCTGGAGTCGTGGGCAACAGCTAGTTACTTTATAATGATAAAATGTCAAGTAATATTACAATTTAAAAATAAATTTAAACTCTTTTTAGTGTTGGCGTGGGGCATTCTATCATTAGACTTCAGGCTAGATTTCGGCGTCTACGTGTTTCGACCCTGGAGATTACTGACATTAGTCTATGGAAGTTTTTTCATCGTAGCTGCGACCCTAGCATATGATGCTCCCGAAAGTCCCAAATTCCTCATGTCTCAAAATAAAATTGAAGAATGTATTAATGTATTGAAAATCATATATTTTAAAAACAAGGAGAAAGCACTCGACGAATACCCTGTAAGTCTTTAAATTATTTTTCTAGCACTTATATTTTATTATTTGGCCCTGAATATTGAATATTTATTATTCGTTTGATTTATTAATCAAAATTTTAATGTTTTTAGATAAAAACTCTAAAAAGAGAGTCATGCAGACTAACAGATAGCTACGATTTCTGCTCTTCGTTGAAAAGTCAGTCAACTCCTTTGCTGCAGCCTCCATACATTAAGTGGATAGCTCTTAATAGTTTTTTGCTATTCGGAATTTATGCAAAGTAAGTAATATTTAAAACATATCTTACTAAAACCCGCACTATAAGAAAACGTATCTATGATTTTTGTATTAAGCGAGAGATTAGGATTAAGAAAGAACAAAAATTCCTTTCGGTATTTACGCCAAAAAACGACCGGTTTCGAAAATGTTCATACTATGTGAGTAAGAACGGGCATATAAAAAACATAGTATTAATTACCTACATAATTGAGGAGTAAAAAGTTAACTAGGTGTAGGCATGTTATGAGGAGGGATTGATCATATGTAACAAGAACCTAAGTAATGAATGTGGAGAGGTAAACCATTAGAGGTAGACCTTACGGGACCTTTCGGACCTTACCTTACTCTCATAAGGACGGAGAGGTAATTAGGAATGTGCTGCAATTTATGTCAAGTAAATTTTACGATATCTTCTTTTGTTTCAGTTTGAGTGGTCTCTACGTTTGGACTCCAGACTTTGTCAATAGAATACTCCTCTTCGGTGGGCTGAACGGTAGTTCTACTTGTGATGTCATAGTTCGCGATTTGCCTGGGGTACCGTTCAATCGCTAAATTTAAGCAACCAAACTTATTACAACAAATGCTGATGTAAACTGTTTACATATGTAAATTTCAATTAATATTTTTCTCTTTCCTTCCTCAGAATTCAATACGTAATCTGACATGTGACGACTCTCTTAACACCAACACCTCTCTCATAAGCCTAACAGCGTGTTGTTTGTGCAGTATTATCGCATTGCCAGTTAGCATAAGCGTAAAGTTTATTAGCAAAAAGACATTGATATTCTTAGTTCTCTTCACTACCGGTATCTCTTGCGTTTTGATAAACTTTGTAAAGAATGGTGTCCTGCTGGTAATATTAATGCAGGCGTTGGTAATGACCACGCTAGCAATAGGACCTATTGGAGCATACACTACAGACCTTTTCCCGACACATCTAAGGTCAGTTTAGTTCAAAACTATCTCTTTTTAAGTTATACTTCTTTAGTATTATCTCAAAATGTTATAATTTTTTTCAGAGGTATGGCCATGTGTTTGACAATGATGGTTGGTCGTTCAGGAGCGATTTTTGGTTCTAACTTAGTCGGTTCACTTATAAACTCGGCTTGTGAGGCTAATTTCTACATCTTCGGCGGTTTATTATTAAGTATGTAACATTGAACGCCGAAGTTTCCTTTTCAATTTACTCATATTCAATTTACCTATTTCTGTTTCAGTTTGTGCATTTTTCTCATTCTGTCTTCCGAATGACAAATCAAAGAGAAACAACAAAACGAAGATGGAAATCACAAAGTTATAAAAGTTAGTGTTTTAGTTAAAAAAAACAACAACAACAGTTTTAAGATTACAGCTTGCATCGCGTAAAAAGTAACATTCATGTACTATTTTTTCCAAAATACATAGACAAGTAAGGACGTCATAATGTATCGACTAATATACCATGCAACCAATCCACTATAGTTAGTGTTTTATTTGCCATTAATACCCAAACACACTTTTCCTACAAAGTGAACTCCTACAACCTATCGCAGCGTAGTTATTAGAATTCCAAACCATAATATTATTAATTTCCTTTAATTTTGCTTGTTTAAAGTTACTTAAAGTAATGTATTTTTATAGAATAATTTTACTACCCCAGAAAAACCGAAGATTGCTAGAAGTAAGCTCTTGCATTGTTTATTTTTTTTTCATTTTGTTTTTTGTTAGTCTATAGTCCGTCTTGACAAATCGTGATATACTGTCATCTGACAGTGACAATGAGAAACTGACATTGACACTACCAAACAATTTCTTGGTAATTTTGATTCATCGTCATTTAATTGCATTGAATACAATAACGAAATAATCTGGAACCTGAATTCCTTCTCTTACTTACAATATGCAAAACCTAGATTCAGACAGCGAAGATGAACTTCCTCCTGGTTGGGTGGAAAAGTCAACTGACGATGGAAATGTCTACTTTGTCAAGTATGTATTTTTATTTTGCTAACATTTTCTATTGCGTAAATGCTATTTACTTTAGAATTACCTTGTTTTAGTTCTGGCACAAATAAAATACAATGGACTCATCCCAGAACTGGTCGCAAAAAACTTATTCCAGAAGATTTACCATTTGGTTGGGCGAAAACTGTCGACGAAACCGGCAAAACTTTGTACGTTCAGCAAGAAACCGGTAATAAAACCTATGTAGATCCCAGACTAGCATTCGCCACTGAAGAGAAGAAGCATGTTAATGATTTTCGTCAAAGATTTGATTCATCTACAACCGCATTTCAGGTATCTTTATTTATTAGACATTTATAATTATAATGTAACTTTTGATATTATCAGAACTTCATCTGATATTTTCACATAAAAGTGTTAAAAGAGGGCATATAAAACCTAACAATTACCTAATTATAAAGTATCCAGAAAGTGACATAACAGTTATCTACTAAAGAAGGTTATTAACTGGCATGTTTTTAGGTCCTACATGGAACAGATTTATCAGGAAAATTTGCCTTAATCACTGGCTGCAATGCCGGCATAGGATATGAAACAGCCAAGTCACTGGCAAGGCATGGCTGTAACATTCTAATGGCAAACCGTAACATGGAAGCAACTAAAAAAGCAATGGCTGATATTGTCAAAGAAACAAATGCATCAGAGGATAATCTGAAATCAATTCATTTAGATTTAGCATCATTGGAGAGTGTAAAAAAATGTGCCATGACTGTAAAGACTATATTTTCAGAGTATGTATTATATAATTTCCTTTGTTCAATATGTTAAAAAAATGGACCAAAAAAATAGGTCTGTAATTTTATAACCTATGGTAATTATTGTTATATAACTGGTTATATATCATTGAGTAGAAACTTTTTAATGTCAAAACATTTTTTTAGTTATCTGGATATATTAATATTGAATGCAGCAGTATTTGGATTACCTTACACAGAGACTGTTGATAAACTAGAAACTACATTCCAAGTTAATTATTTATCTCATCTATATTTTGCTATATTATTGGAGCCACTGTTGAAGAAAGGCTCTAGAGTAATATTTGTATCTTCAGAATCTCATAGGTAAGTGTGACATTTAAGTACCTCAATTTAATACCCTTTAACACTGTAAGTAATTAAATTATTTGAACTTTTGTGAGACATTTTATAACTGATTATTATACGGCTGTTACTCACGTCATAATTTTCACGAGGCGCGACGCGACCGCGATACAACATCATTAGCCCTCGCCCTGAAGAAGGACCCCCACAGGGTCTGAAACTGGTCATTGCCATCACCGGAAAATAGAATGATGTGAGTAAGAGCCGTAAAATAATTAGTTACTGTAAGTAATGTTTTGTGTAACTCGAAAAAGTCAAACTAAAGACAACTATTTTTGAAATGAAAGAGGATAATCAGAATACTTGTAAAGAAATTATGTTTGTTTTTTTATTTACTTGTTGAACATTATTTTTTTTTAGATTTGCCTCCTTGCAAAATGTGTTTGCACAGCAGAGTGTTGCAATGACTAGAGATTCATATAGTTCTATGATGGCTTATAATAATTCTAAATTGTATATGGTTATGATAGCTAAGGTAAGATATTTAATTTTTATCAATCATTGATCTATTTTGTTATTTTTAAATAAAATTAAAAAGTTGATTATACATTGAAATGCAAATCTGAAAATATTGATCAAACCTGTTGTGTTCTAAAAAAGAATTCAAATGTTTCAGATTTTAAGTGAAGAATGGAAGGATAAAAATATATGTGTAAACTCTCTTCATCCTGGCAACATGGTATACACTAATCTTAGTAAATCATGGTGGCTTTTTAGACTATTGTTTTTCATTGTTAGACCATTTACGAAATCAATGGTAAGTCTATCCATTTTGTTCATTGAATCTTCTTACTATCTTAATTAACATTATAAATGTGAAAGTTTAGATAGATGGATGTTTGTTAGAGTTTGTAGCCTAAACTACTGAACAGATTTCCATGAAATTTGGCATGGGTGAAGAGCAGTCTGAAAGAACACTTAGGCTTGTCGCTTTTGGTTTTTTTTTAATTTACGCGACCGGAGTAGAGGGCGAAAGCTACTAATTACATTATTCTACTTACTAATATTTGCTTCCAAGATATGGTAATAAACCGTAATTATTGGTTCCAGCAACAAGCAGCAGCGACAACAGTCTACACAGCAGTAGCTGGTGAATTAGATAATGTTACTGGTTTATATTTTAATAATTGTTTCTATTGCGCTCCTTCGGAACTCTCCCGCGACGAGGACTTAGCGTGGGAAGTCTTCACCTTATCTTTAAGAATTATAGAAGAGCGCATGGGACAAGATAGTGTTAAAAAATATATGGACAAATGCAAAAGTCGTCTAACCTGTGCAAAATAACAGCAATGTGATTTTTATTTACAAACATGTGGTGGAATAAACGATGTTGTATATTGTGACTGGGATAAAATAAAATAAAACAAACAGAAAAATTACTGCTTATTTTAATAACTACCTAAATATTTTTTTTTCGCGACAAAAAAGCAAATGCTAAGATGTAAAGTTAATTCAAAAAATAGTATGCAAGCTACATAGGAGGAAAGCGTGGGAGTGGATAATGACGCAAGCAATGAAGGCTTTAAATGAAAATATGAGGCCACAACCAAAACTCGCCGTGATGGAGAGAAGTTTGATCGTTTTTCTTGTTTCTGAAGGTCTAATTTTTCAAGATATCTAGAAAATCAAACAAATTACATCAATAATTTTTTTTTATTTACTTGTGTGCATTCTATAGATCTGGTTTTGGTTCCGTAGCGAGTATCCGAACATTTTCTTTCGTTGGAAATATTTCTTATCTGTGACAATTAATATGTCAAGGTAAAGTGTCAAGAGTGGATTTGATAAATATTAATTTTAAAATAAATAAAGATTTATTAAGACACACCAAAAAATTGTATATTTTTCTGTTCTTTTTTTTATATTACATATCGTATTTAAATAGAGGGTGTTGTAACTTAGCATCGAAATGTTAGTTCGGACGCTCCCAATGTTTCTGGAATTTTAAATTTGTTATAAGAAGAATTTGTGTATTTATTGAAGATATAATGTTTTTGTGTGTATTTCAATATAGTAAACAAGTGTTTCCCACTAATACATAATGAGCGATAAATCGAACAGAGAGTTTTACGCTTCAGGAGCTGCAGCCTTCAACTATAACAATGTGGTAAGTCTATTTTGTAGCCTCACAGAGATATTTAATAAATATGCAGATATGTAACCAATGAATATTAAATTATTTTTAATATTGAAAACTGTTGTTTTAGCTATATTATAGCATTTTTTGTCTTAGAAAGTTTTGGATCAGTCATTACATGTCAAAAGCAAGGCCAATACTTGCCTTCTAACATAAATTCACATAAATTTGTTAAGCAATTGACATTGTAAAGTTGAACTTTTATATAATTTATACCAATCTTTAGTAAAGATAAACTCTTGTAAAGTGTAATGATTTACCAATATGAAACTTTGTCTTAATTGCTAAAGTTAAACTGTGGTCCGATGTTTGATACCAAACATCATCATCATCATCAACTTGCCCTTATCCCTTATGGAGGTTCGGCACAGTATGTGCTGCTTTTCCATACATCTCTAATGCTACAGCACATACTGTAAAAATGTTTTGGCTTTTGCTACAAGTGTAAGCTTTAAACTTAAATCAAAGTTTATTTATATTAAAGTTAATATACTTCTAGTTTATATTTGGACTAGGTATGGTTGACATCAATTTTGGTTTCATGTACATCTTAGGTGCAACCTAAATTAGAATATTTTCTACATCTATACCAAATTTAATTGAAATCCATTCAGCCTTTTAGGTTAAAAATTCTAACAAACATCCATCCATCCATCTAAACTCTAGCATTTATGATATTAGCATGAAGTATGATAGAATCTTAAATGCAGTGTGTTCTAAAATGCTTTTTATATTTTTTTTAAAAGATTTGACACTTGAAACATTTTATTTTCTACATCACATAAAATTATTTCTGTTACATAAGAGTTGGTTAATTATTGTATTCTATTGAAAAAGAAATTGTAAATCAGCAGTCTTTAAAATAATTTAATGCACACCACTTGATTGCACAAAGCATGTATTTTTTGCCTTATTTTATTATCTTTGATTATAGTTGTAAAAAGATCTGTCGCCATTGTTAATAATTTGATTTAGTCGATATGTGGAGCTGAACAATAAAAGTACTGAATCCCACGACTGCACAATGTGATCTAGGGCAGGCTTTTGACACAAATTATTCAGCACACACACTTATGTATTAATTATGTGTAGTGTTTTGTTCACATATTGTAGCAATGCAGATATTTTGATATTCTCCAAAGGCCTTATCTGTTCTTCATAGCTCACTTAGAATTGAGCTTACTGTTGTTTTTATTTTTTGTTATATATTTTACTTTTTGTGTATGCTTAGTTATATATGTTATTTGGTAGATTTTTAAATTTAAAATTGACATTTTCCGGTGTTCTCCAGTGTTTGTAAGTGTTGTAATGTTTTGAATAGATTTGATGATTGTTCCTTCTAACATGGAAACTTGAATTAACCTAACATCAGTCACTTTATTATTATATCCTAGTTGAGACCATATTTACTGTAAAAAGATGTTCTTTTACAATCAAGCTGAACAATTACTAACATATTATTAATAACATAGTAGGTAGGTTATTCGTCATCCGGAAACTAAGTATTTAAAGTTAGGATTAATTAAGTTTTAAAAGCAATAATTTACCAAATCTAGGTTGTATGTTGTGAACTTTTTGTTAGTAGATATGGTTTTTTTATTGGTCCCGAGGTTGCATGTTGAAGGTGAAATTGCGCGTCGTACCAGGGTACCAGGAGCCGCCTGGCGCTCGCGTGAACTGCGCCATAGTTGCGGTTATATGATTATTCTATATCAAAGATTTGCTTAATTTACGTACCTTTGGACTAGAGGCATATTATTATTTAGTAAACATTATGATAAATTGACCTCCGAGTAAATTTTATAATCAAAGTTTATACTAATATTATAAATGCGAAAATTTAGATGAATGGATGTTTGTTAGAGTTTGTAGCCTAAACGGATTTCGATAAAATTTGGGCATAGACATAGAGAATAGTCCGGAAAAACACATAGGCTACTCAGTTTTATTTTTTCAATTCCACGCGGACGGAGTCGCGGGCCAACGCTAGTAAGATTTTAAGGACAATTGACCAATGGTTTCAATCGAAGACCGACATGTTTGTCAGTCACGTTTACCCATCAAGTGGGTTCTCTAATAAAGTTTGTAATAAAATGTTTGCCGTGCTCTCGGCGACCGATCGGCTCCTATTTCCTAAGTGTCGCCGACATGCCGTTCGCCTTGTGTTTTCACTTCCAACGACCTGTGCTAAACGCGGCCCTTATAAAATAATATCGATTGAGATTTATAGCGCAAATTGATATAATACAGCCAATGATATTTTCGCGAAACTTCGATATCGACTTAAATTTATGTCTTTGCCCACGGATCGCGTGTTGATCGCAAAATTTATCCAGTCCCTTGGTTGTATTCGAAGTTCAGTTTAGCTTGTGTTGTGACACGCTTGCTGTTTTCGGCGTTCTAAGTACTGTTCTATGTATCGTAGTTGTTCGAATTATAATTAGTAAGATAATATTAAAATGGCTGTGTTTTCGATAGTGTTATGCAAACAGCGCAAAATGGAAGTATCTATTTTGCAACTGAATTTTGTTACTTAGTGAAATCAGTGATAGAGTCGCAATGTTATAGAATAATGCGATTTTGGTGATCAATAAATATGGATGCAGTGCCGTTAACTAGGCGAAAGGGGCGTATTACGAAAAAAGTTTGCTTCCCATCAAAGAACATGAAAATGGTGGGTTTAAATTTTATCGCTTGTTTTTCTCATTTCACATGTCTTTTCTACAACAGGCCGTTTTTTACTTTTTTTTTTTAATATACATTTTCATCTCCATGGTTCAAAACATTTTATAGTCTTGGGAACTCGGACCTTATTAAGCAGTCATTGTGTCTATTAAAGAAATAACAATGTAATGTAAGCAAACAATATTGCAGCTTGAATTAATAAAACTGCCAGAGGCCGTTTGAAACTTTTTCCATTAAAACTTTACTATGCGGTAAACTTTTATACGACTCTTACACGATGTAAAATTTCTTTGTTTTCCCATTAACATTTTATTGATGTCAGCATAGCATCAGAGCATATTACTGTTTATAATTTTTCAAGATCAATATCCAATATCATTTTTACCTAATTTTAAGAGAAACTTAATTTCTGAGAAAATTAAATAACGTTTTTTTAAATGGTAAAGCCGCCATTTCGCTGTTTTCTCCGTCGTTGTAAATGACATTTCCCCGACTTCTTTATGCGATACGATGTCAGATTACACATTACATTCATCTCTGACAGTATTTTTTTTTATTTATTTTTTAATTCTCCTTCACTTAGTAAATGACCATGTTTTACGTACTAGGTACTATATTTACAAAAGTTGCGTTTTTGTCTTAATGTACATATTTACGTGTATTTTATATAGTCCTCGACTAATCCTAAACTTTACCTACTCTATCATTCGAATTAAAAAAAAATAAACCGATGATTGACGGATTTCAATGAATGAAGGTAATGAATAATAGTGCAATAAAAATTTAAGATATACGCAATATAGCTGTCTGATATGAAATCCATAATTATTACGTATTCATCCGTCGTCACCTGTGTTAGTGATAGACAGTATCTTTTGTACAAATTTGTAATTATTACAAAATTGCTTTGTTGTGTTTTAAATAAGTTTCATACGATACGATATTGACTATTGCGTAAGTTGCGTTACTTTTTTAATGGAAACTTCGATAATGCCATTACCAGAATTGAATGTAAAATTAATACAATTCGGATATGTTGAGTTATGTGACGTAACTTAAGTGATGACTTGACAATTAATATGTCGGACATTCTGCTTGTTTATGGGCAAAGTTAAGTAATGCACTGGATGAATTATTTTTTTTTAATTAAAGTGTTTATTGATTTTACTTGTGATAGTGATATTGCGATTTTCACGATGTTTACATTTCACCTATCTGGTATTATTTTTATTTAATAAAGTCGACTGTAAGTCCGCTACACACTGTCAGTTTTAGATTAGTTAAAATTAAAGGTGTAGCGGGATTTAATCGGAACAGATTTGTCCTGTCGGTTCTAGACCGAAGACGAAAATTTGCATGGTATGGATCTCTACTTCAGATGACTTATATGGTAATTTAAAATTAACTTATAAGGATTCTAGAAACTTTTGCCTACACTGTTGTCAAAATTTGCAAAACTTTCCCGATAGAAAGTTAAATCATCATCTATCTGTGGCACTACAGCCGCGGCTGGGCCTGGTCCTGGTCCAGTAAAATTCTCCAATTCTGTCTATTTTG